GTGGCTTGTGCTCGCAATTAACCAAACACATTGAATTATACAGACTCACAGCGATTGATACATTGATTCCATTTTACCCTCTGTGTACATTACATTGAAATAATTTAATTCATGTATCAGCTCATCAGTATAATACAAGAAAAAAATGTTTCCCTTTTTTGTGCACCAATGGGTCATTATATTTACTGTCAAAGTTGCCATTTTATCCTTTTGAAAAGGTCCCAGCAGGATTTGAAAAGCCTTAATTAGTGTAGGTTAAGGCAGGCAAATATCAGGTCAGTTCAGGTCACAATGTGCACACATAGCTTCTTTTCTGTCCATTATTGGTGCAATTAATTTCCAACCACTTGCGCCCTGACACCCTCTTGTTAAACAATAACAATCTGGAAAAAGAACAGTAGGTGAAACTTAATGAGGTATTAATGATAAAGAAACCTGAAACAGTTTTAACTTGTCAGGAGTACAGCCCATGTAAACTTGAGTGGCAGTTACTTCTAGATTTCATTGTGATAACAAAGTGAGTTATTAGGAAAGCTGTAGTTTGTATTTCATTGTTTGAATGGTTGTGTTTTTGAATGTGATAAAATCTCTAGACTCTGTAATTAATGAAACAAAGGACTTTTTCCCATTAAATATCATTAAAGTGTTACTTGGGAACCGGTTAAAGGTTATTTTTAAGTAAATCTAGATCTGAGATATATAATTTAAACAAGAAATATAAAATAATTAAAAATGAATTTAATTAGAATAGTGTTATACTTAACAATATCTTATCAATGCATGTAGGTGATGACTACATGTTTATATGCCTCAGCCTGTGTGTATATTTTAAAAAGTTGCCTAAGAATTTATTTGAAAAAAGTTGGTAAGACAATTTGTGTAGGTCAAGATTTTGTTTTGATCCCTCATCAGTGCATTTTCCGCAGTTTTCATCATATAACTAAGCTCGGGGTGGTTCCCTGAGCTTACAAGAGGGCATTTACCAAGGCCTTAGTCTACCAATCAATGTAAAATTCTCAACAAGGCTTAATATAGGCTATTTAGAGTTTGCTGGTGGCAACAAAATCTTCCCATGTGACCAGTGCAGTCTAAGGTCTGTGTGCTGTCTGATCATGGTCTGCACTAGCTGTTAGCTATTCATATTATTAAGTGAGTAAATATTTTGAATTTTCCCTAAAAGTGATGAATGGTTTTGTCCAGATTGAAAGATGGACAAATCCATGTGTTAAGGGTTATCAAAGTTGATAGGACGATTAACTTAACAAGTACAACAATCAACAAATAACAACAAATAAAAAATTTGTGGGATAAAGAAAACACTTTATGAAAGCATTATAAGGAGAGATGATCATTGAAGTTTTATATCTGATTTTATTCAAATATTCCTTAAATTTATTCACTGATAAAAGATTGGGGCTGTATTTAAATATTTTGATGTATTAAATCACTGGCTATTAGCAATGTTTTATTGATAATAAAGAGGAATTTAAATTCCAGGTGCCGGTTTTAATGGCACACCTTTTAATAGCATTTAATATCTAATTCTGAGGGAGTAGATTGTAAGAGCCATGTTTTGTTTGAATATTCAGTGAATTTATCTTTGTTATTTGAAATTTAGGAAGAAAAGAAAGAACAGATCATGATAGAAATGTTTTATTTTTGAATTTTATGAATAATTATTGTTTTGATAAGATGTATAAAGAATTATTAACTTTTTATTAGATGTGCATAAGTTTACAAATGTGTTTTCTTTGTTTGAGAATGGTGTTGTAACAATAAATCTAAAAAATGTTTTACTGATAATCATATAAAAGTCTGTCAGTTCACAACACGGTCCAAAGGCTTTGGCATACTGTCGAGATACTTCTGTAACAGAATTGAAAACCAGAAATGTTTATGGAACCAGTATAACATTAACAGTGAATACAAAAATAGGTTCGGAGAAGGTCTGATTTCATTGTTCAAAGGAGAACGCCCTATCTATAGTTACAAAGTATATTCTCTGTACTCATTAAACATGGCTAAAACACGAGGGAGGAAAAAGTATTTTTCCATGTTTCTGGTACAAGTAGTAGAGAAGTAATTACTTCATTCACCTGCTAGAGATGTTTATCACCTGTTGATATATTCTCCAGTACAAGAACAAAAGGCTAGCCTGACCTTGTCATATTACTGATTTTTTGGGTGGGGTTTGCCAAAGTGGCATAAAATATAAATTAAATTTATGGGGTTTTTTTGTTTAACCTTTCATTATACTGTTCATAGCTAGAGTTACTGAGTGCGAAGGATTATAATTTATTTTAACATTTTTACTCCTTTTGCTTACAATAACGGCTGGATCTTTTTTTCAAATATAGCTCATAATTATTTGATATGGACTTTTGGAAAAAAGATTTTATTTTAAGCTTTGTAAATAACATTTGGACGATTTGTAAGTTTACTTACGTCCTTAAAATTTGCATCTGAAAATGAAACAAAGGTCACACATTAATATCTTTAAATAAGTTTGTTGATAATTCTTTAAATTTGTATTTAAAAAAAAACAGAGAACCCGGCCATTGCACTGTAAAGCAAAGAAATTAAGAATCCTTTAATATTGGAAATTCTAAAAGATTCATTTGTACTAAGCTTACATAACTGAAAAGTGTCAATTGTAGTATAATACCCAAAAGTGAAGTAGTTCAAATGTTTCGGGGATTTTTTCTCTCTCTCATTTTTTTATGTGTGAAAGAAATACAACCCAATACTCTTTAAGACAATAAAAATGTTACAATTTTCTTTTTTGTATATTTTTTATTGAAACAGTGTAATAGTATAGTGTTATCATGTTACAGTAGATTACCATCATGCATGCGCAGTGTCTATTTTTGTTATTTCATGCATGATGTAAGTGCATAAAATTACGCTAAAGATCATTATCTAGAAATAGTATCAATTTTCCCATGATCTGCGGATGCCTGAAATTTCATTGCCTTATAAACAGTGAATAAAATTTTAGTTTTTTATGGAAATCTGAGACAAATTATGCAAATTTTTGTGATTTTTTTTTTCCGTAAATTGTAAGAAAGTGAAAGGCTATTTTTCACAGGAATGGTAAGGGGCCGTTCGTTCCCTTAAACTAACTTTCGGGGATGGGGTGGTGGGTGCAGGGGAATAACATTGAATTTTTGCAAAACTGAGTAGAAACAGCTTTATGTAATTGGAAAATTGTGTGATTTAAAGAAATAATATTCTGAGGGGTTTACAACTGTAAATTTAAAGACCTCTGCTGGTGTGATTAAAAAAAGAATATTTTGACCCATGCTAAAGAAGAAGAAAAAAAACTACCCTGAATTAAAAAGTATATTTAAAGGGAAAAAATATCTCTTGATTGAATGAATGATAAATAAAACCCCTCCAATTTTTTGTTTTTCGATTCAAAAGCTTGGTTGTATTAATTTACTGCTAATGGACTTTACAAACAATAAAATTGTGTTTCAAATGAATTATTTCACCATAAAACTAGGACACTAAATCAGGGAGGGGAGTCAAAACTGATAGCTATCATCAAGTTGTGTGAATGTATCATCATCTAATTTATTCCTCTGGTTTCTATATCCTAGGGGAGGAAAATGCAAATTTGATCATTAAGGTGGTCTTTCCATCAATATCCTTTAAATATGCTTACAATATTCATGTTCTTTTAAATAATATTATTTTATTTGAATAACATGTTACAAACTTCTAGTGGTCTCAGTTTGGTAGTTTTATACACTCGTTTAATTGAGTTCAAGCTTTCATGGATGGGGTCTGTACTCTCAATGCCTAAAAGGTTGGATGGACTCTCATTAAACATAGAATACACACACACTAACAAACTTTCATGCAATGAGAGCAGTGTCTGTTTCATAATTTTTGTTTTGTTTTCCGGCTTAAATGCCAAACCCCTTTTTGTTGGGGACATCATAAGTCCAGCAAGATGTTCGCGGGTTCCATGATTGCCTTTGTATAAATCATACCATTGTGTATTCAAGCGATAAGAGATTATCTCACTATTTCTTGGATTCAAACACAAAAGTCATAACCTGAAAGTTAGGAGTCGATGCTCTACCCTTATTCACCTTTCTCCCCTTTTTTTGCTGCTATAATTGTAATATTTTTGTATTAAACATTGAATTGTATAATTATATGAAAAACAAGAGTCAAATGTGCGTGCAATATGTTGATCACTGTACTTGAACAGTATTGCAAACGGTAAAATGTTTGTTGCTTGCATGGATGTGCAGAGCCAGACTGACCAGTTGCTCATAGTAACAGCTAACATTTTCTTACCAATATCTTAAATGGAATTGTCCATCTTTCAATCTGGACAAAACCATTCATCATTTTTATGGAAAATTTCAAAATGTGTACTGACTGAATAGCGAACAGTGCAGACCATGATCAGTCTATGGCATGATTGTTGGCTCGCCACAGATCTTGCCATGGTCCACACTGGTCATATTTTGACAGCATGTCCAGGTTAAAACAGAACCAGTCTGTGTGATTTTATTTTTTTATTTTTTCGAAGGAATTCGATATGAGCTACTGAAATTATCCTTTACTATATAATTCATGAATTTTGATTACTGAGAGGGAAAGAAAAGTTATGTAAATTGATGGATGGGGAAAGCTTTCAAGCATGAAATACAGAAAGATGAACAAAATGATGGTAATGATGTGTATCTGTATGATAAAGGAGTTTCTCTTTTAAATCTAATCATCATAGTTTATGATGTGAAATTACTACATGTTATCATTTCCTGATATTACGAAACTGAAAAATATTTTATTGAGGTTTCTTTCTGATGTCAGAATGCCATTATACTTTCATCAACGTGTAATTAAGGAACAATGGAGGTTTCTCTGTTATTTCTGACTACAATATACTTCCATCCATGTCATTAAGAAAGAATGATATGGAATGTTTTGTGTTTTAATTTAGAATATAGGAAATCAGTTTTGTTGTTTTCTTATTTCAGTTGCAGTGTCATCGGATTGTGATCATTTTCGTGAACGGTATAAAAGGTGATGGACAAGGACTTTGTTGAAACAATTTATGTGGATAATTACTACTCTGGTACTTTAAGTAAGTTGTTGTTGATGTTTAATTAATTAATTAAGTGTAATATAATATTGAACAAAGTATATTAAGCTAGAGAATTATTACTTGTAATTTGATGCATATAGTATACACAAAACTCCTAACAAAAATGTCTTTACAAATATTAAATAATAATTAGGTTTTAGTTTTCTTTAAAAAAAAGTTTTTTTAAGTATATTTTAATGAAAGAGAAGTGAAATTACTTGTATATACATTTTATAAACTCAAGATGTACATCGCAAAAATTATGCTCTTTTTGTTATATCAAAAGAAAAATCATAATTAAATCATCAAAAATGAGGGTCAACCATAGATGCAGCATCCTGTAGATTTTAATAGCTTAGAATATTTCACAGACATAATATGTTTCAAGGAAAGAAATGAATTATTAAATGTTGGTTCAGAAACACCCCTGAAATTCTGAAATAAAGATAGAAAGAGTAATTACAAATCATTCTGGTTTTAACACAAAGCCTTCCAGTAATTTATGCTGTGATCCAAATCAAATTGACCATCAAAACCTGAGTTACTGACCCAGATGTCAAAATCTAGATGACCAAATAAAGGTCATAGAACCAGTATCACATTAATAATCTTTGTCCATTCAATAAATAACAATAATAATATTGTAGTGATAATTATGTCTCCCCCACCTCGGGGGGAGACATATTGTTTTTGCCCTGTCCGTCCGTCAGTCCGTCCGTCCGTCAGTCCGTCCGTCCGTCCGTCCGTCCGTCCGTCCATTCTTCGTTTCCGGACGATAACTAGAGTTCCTTTTGACCTACAGCTCTCAAACTTCATAGGATGAATGGTCTTATTGAGCAGATGATCCCTATTGTTTTTGGGGTCAGTAGTTCAAAGGTCAAGGTCACAGTGACCGTTGGTCAATTTCTCGTTTCCGGATGATAACTAGAGTTCCTTTTGACCTACAGCCTCAAACTTCATAGGATGATTGGTCTTATAGAGCTGATGATCCCTATTGTTTTTGGGGGTCAGTAGGTCAAAGGTCAAGGTCACACTGACCGTTGGTCAATTTCTCGTTTCCGGATGATAACTAGAGTTCCTTTAGACCTACAGACCTCAAACTTCATAGGATGATTGGTCTTATTGAGCAGATGATCCTATTGTTTTTGGTGTCAGTAGTTCAAAGGTCAAGGTCACAGTGACCGTTGGTCAATTTCTCGTTTCCGGATGATAACTAGAGTTCCTTTTGACCTACAGCCCTCAAACTTCATAGGATGATTGGTCTTATAGAGCAGATGATCCCTATTGTTTTTGGGGTCAGTAGGTCAAAGGTCAAGGTCACAGTGACCGTTGGTCAATTTCTCATTTCCGGATGATAACTAGAGTTCCTTTTGACCTACAACCCTCAAACTTCATAGGATGATTGGTCTTATTAATCAAATGATCCTATTGTTTTAATGGTCAGTAGGTCAAAGGTCAAGGTCACAGCGGACCGTTGGTTAATTTCTCCTTTCCGGATGATAACTAGAGTTCCTTTAGACCTACAACCCTCAAACTTCATAGGATGATTGGTCTTATTGAGCAGATGATTCCTCTTGTTTATGGGGTCAGTAGGTCAAAGGTTAAGGTCACAGTGACCATTGGTCATTTTCTCATTTCCGGATGATAACTAGAGTTCTTATCAGTGAGGACATTTAACTATTATTGATATATCAGTGATATATCAGTTGTCTGGTTTTATATACTCTGTTCTTTTATCTCCATTTCCATTCCTGTTTCCATTCACAGTTATTCTCAGCAGTGGGGGAGACATGCGCTTTTTTACAAAAGCATCCTCTAGTTTTTCCAGATACAAGCACAATGACCACCTTTATTGACTGTAGATTTTTTCACGGTAACTGTATAATTGTGATAATTTTTTGGATTTTTTTTTTCCACACAATAATCTCCTTCATTTTACTGTACATGTATTTATAAAGTATTATTAATGGTTACTTCACAGATAAAATCAAGGTGATAATTAGTGATACAAATGTGTTATGCTCCTTTGAATGTAATTAGCACAATAATGCTACTAGAATAAAGTCATGTCAGGCTACATATTCATGCAGTCTCTATCTTCCCCTTGGTATGTTACAAATAATGTAGATGTCATTGAGAAGAAAGGGTATCGGCTGAAGAGTTATAGAACTTAGAGTGAAAACAAAAAAATCACCAAAACTGGGGATTTGTGAATAGCTGCCAAAACCGATAAATTTTCCAAAGTATTAGAGATAGTTGGAAGAAAGCCTTTTGCAACATGAAACCCTTTTTCAGGGCTCCCTTTTCCCTTCATTGTTGTTTTTGGTTTCTGGCTTAGTTCCCGGGAGTCCTACCTTTTTTGGGTCTAAATTACTCTTTTTGGCAAATCTGTGTTACAAAGGGGCAGAAGATAATTATCATCTCTTGCTGCTTCAAAATTAACCCTCTAGGTGCATGACTGGTGTGGTGACATGCATGTGGTCCATATGCCATAGCTTAAGCTTATTTTGTGCCTGAAAGGGAGGATGAATCCACATTAAACCTAGAATTAATGCATACATAATCCATACCACTTGTGTCTGATCTGACTCTATTCTGTTGGATACTCAATTTTAGTTTTGGAAATTAACAGTATGAACCGCCATTGCCATTTTCAACATTTGTGTTCTTCAAAGCAAGGCAAGAGCATTATATAAATACAGCAAGGTTTAATAAGGTGTATAAACATAATGGCAGGTTTCAAAACCTGCTGATTTAGGGATACTAAGTGTCAAAATCAGATGCATTTGAAAAGATTTACAACAGACATGGGACAGCTGGTAACTTGACAATGAAAAATGTGTTACTGGTATTAATGTGTTTTTATTAAAAGATGCGTTGACAATATAATTGTTATGTCACTTTGACAATAGCTTCAAGCTATCTTTGAAGTAAAGCATGAAAACTGTAAAACTACTGTAAACTGCCATATTCTATTAGTGTATTTTAAGGTCTATTGGCCGTAATTGCTGTATTTTTTTTTCAGAAAAAAAATTATAGTATCAAAGAAAATGAAATAACAATTGTGAGATACTATTGAGGCATGCATGGTAGCTGACATTAATCTGATTTAGTTTGAAGCTGAAACCTTGAAGCTTACATGGCATCCCTTTAAATACATGTATCTTGGATTAATAAGCAGATTTGAATACTTGGTTTATATCGTGTAATATTTTATATATTTAACAAGTGAATTTCTTTGTCTTTAATTCTAACCGTCATCGGAATTTTTAAAAGTTTTTGCTGTAAAATTTTGTAAAAGGGATTTTTTCATTAACACTGACAATGGTTTTAAAATTAATATAATAAGTTTGGAAGAAAGTGTTGAAAATTTCTTCATTTTGAGGAATTTTTTTTTTTCCCAAAAACGGCAGGTTTTACTACTTGCAGATTTAGATTCGGAAATTTTTAAAAAATGGACTCCCCCCGGGGTTCAGAAACCTATGAAGTAAACATTTAAACTTTAATATACATTTCAAAATTACCCCTTGTGGCTGAGGGGTTGCCTTGAATGGTTGAGACATATTAGAATTGCAGCTACCATTTAACCTAATGCGTGATCGTAAGAGGCGTCCGTGTGTTCGAATAGCTGAAGTATATGCATCTCTTGCTTTAAAAGGTTAGCCATCTTTCCTGTTTCAGTGCCATATGACATATACTGTGTTGGTGCGCCATAAAACTAAATAAATAAACACTTTAAAATCAGCTGGAAATCATACTAAAGTGAAGCACTCATTCAAAATTAAATTTACTTTTACATAGAAATAAAGTTAATGGAAAAAAAAAACAATGCTTACTCATTGTTTCGACTTATTTTGTTTTTCAATGTTTCTACCTTGTAAATTTTCAACTCTGAGGTAAAAGTAGGTGAAATTGTTTGAATAGTTAAATGACCTATCAAAGCATTAAAGTAACCATTATAAAACTTCAAAGTCATCATTCTAAAGTCACATTTGAGTACAAGAAAACTTGTGTACTTATTTGGAAAGATCACTTGAATTAAAGTTTAGAATGATGTCATATTGCTGAAGTTTTATTACCATTTATGGTACAATCAAACCAAGTTGTTGGACATTAACGAAATTGTAAACAGGGCAGTTGCAAGCTGCGGTCATTTCTCATGATCCACACCTACACATTGAATGTTTCATTCAGTTAAAAAGCTAACTGCCACAATTATTTGGGTTGGTGAAATGTTTCGGTTTTCTTCCTTTCATATTTTTATGTGAAACAAAAAGATTGCATACTTAGATTGACAAGTTATAAACATATAAGTAATTTAGGGAAAACAGCCTAAGGCAATTGTGTAATTACAGTAAGTTTGGTGGTAGTGTTAAATATATCAACTTTGACATGGTTTACAAGCTTGCAATTGTTTTTATATGGCTCTTTATGACAACATTTATGCTTCCAGCTCACCCTGAGCGGACTTACAATGCGTTCATGCTTTTAGCAAACCTTGAGCGGACATTTACGGTGGCTTTGTGAATATTGATACATTTTTTAAAAGGCTGTATGAATATGTTATTGGGATGATAGAAGTTTAAATATTTTTTTCTTGAGGGTTTTTTCTTCTTCATAAGTATGTGAATAGGTTTCATGAATCATGTAATTTACCTTGAGGATATAATTATATACAGTGTACTACTTCATTACTATATTTGATAATGAAACCTAGTTAAACCACCAATTTGTATTGGTCGGATGGACAGGTCTTACTTTATATTTGGAAAAGTCCATTGTGGGTTTGAGGGGATTTTGAATCAAAATAAAAAAAAATAGTTGTTTTTGGGAAATCAGCTAAATTTTTTTTTTTCAAAAAATTTTCCGGGTTTTTAAAAAAATTTTTACCCCTTGTTAAAGCTTTATTGCAAAGCCGTTCACAATTTTTTTTCTGAAATTTTAAATGTAAAAATTTGTTTGCACCCTCGGATTAGCAGAGAAATCTTAAAAAAATCTTA